AAATGTTAGATGAATGTGACAAGGGAAAAAGGAGGAAAAGACATGGCAAAAAGTCTCTCATAGCCCTGACAAGTGACGATGGAAGATTTTTGTAACAAGATCCACCAATTACTGATTAATGATGAAATAATCATGGGTTGTTTTTTCTCATTGGTTCCATTCTAAACTTTGGGTTTTGTCTGTACTAATTATGATTTAACACAGTGATCATTATTGCTTGTTTGCTCAGAAAACTACCATTGCCTTCATTTCCTCACATAGAGCAGTAGAGAAAGAATGTGGTTTGGGGTAGGTTTTGTATTTTTTTTTTCTGTTTCATAAATATTTGGTGTGAACCCACATGGCAACTGGCACTTATGCTGGACACTGGTTAAGTCTAGTGGGGAATATAGGAATTAATCAAATTGTAAAAAGGAATTTGGAGGGATATGGTAGGAAGAATCAGAGAATCAGAGTACCAGATACAGAAAATTAGAAAACCAGATAGCAGGGGGAATGAGTAGACCTTTCCATTCAGGGATAACCTCCTTTAATGTTTAAGTGATTATGCTGAGAACTGAGATATTTGCTAGAAGGAACAGAGATCTGCACAGGGTAGGAAAGTATTTCTCACACCTGAGTATGCATCAGAATCACCTGGAGGTCTTGTATATTAGTTAACTATTGTGGCATAACAAATTATCTCCAAACTTGGCAGCGAAAAGTAATAAACATGTATTAAACAAACCGTGAGGATTTCTGGGAGGTCAAAAGTCCAGGACTTCCTTAGTTAAGTGGTTCTGACTCAAGATCTCTCCTGAGGTTCAAATTAGGTATTAACCAAGGTGCTGGCCAGAGCCATATCATCTCAAGGCTCCACAGGGGAAGGATCTGTTTCCAAGCTTTCCACAGGTTTGCCCCATAGCATGACAGATAGCTGCAGGTAGCTTCCAAGCTTCTAATAACAGGACAAGAGAGAGAAGGGGCTGGGGTGGGCAGGAGAGAAGGCAAGGAGCATTAGTATGATATATATATATGTTCTAGGGATTGAACCCAGGGCTTTGTGCATAGTAAATAAGCACTCTACCATTAAGCTATATCCTAAGTCCTTCTTATCTTAATTTTTAAGTTTTTTTTATTAGTGGATTAAAGTTATACATAATAGTGGGGTTCATTTTGATATTTACATAAATGCATATAACACAGTTTTTTTTATTTCAATCCCCAGTACTTCCCCCTTCCCTTCCTCCCTCCCCCATCCCCTTCCTTTACTCTATTGGCTTTCCTATTTACTCATACATTTTTTATTCGGTACATTATAGTTATATATAAAATTGGAATGAATTGTGATATATTCATACATGCACACAGCATAAATTGGTCAACTTCATTCCTCAATTCTTCCTCTTTCTCTCCCCTTAACCCTCCCTCTTCATCTCCTCCTTCTACTTTATTGATCTCCCTTCCATTTTCATGATTCAATTTTTTATTCCCTTTTTTCTCTCTAGCTTCTGCATATGAGAAAAATCATTCAATGCTTGACTTTCTAAGTCTACCAGCCCTTTTATTTTTGAGATAGGAGATCTCTAAATTTCTGAGGCTGACTTGGAACTTGAGATCCTCCTGCCTCAGTGTCCTGAGTGGCAAGGATCACAGATGTACCCTACTGCAGCTGGCTTATGAACCAATATCAATACATAATTATTAAACAAATTTAGTCCAAAGTCTATACTTTATTCAGAGTGCCTTAGTTTTAACCCAATATCCCCTTTTCTGTTCCAGAATCCCATTCCAGATAACACATTATATTTAGTTATATCTCATTAGAGTCCTCTTGGTGTGACAGTGTCTTGGACTTTCCTTATTTTTAATGATTTTGAGAGTTTTGTAGAGTACTAGTCAGGTATTTTGTGGGACTCCAGTTGTTTTATAACTTAACATCTGAAGTGAGAAGCCATCACTTCTGGCCATATTCTATATGTTAGAAGTGAGTCTAGCCCACCCTCAAGGGAAGTGAATTAAGCTCCATCATTTAAGGGGAGGAGTATTAAAGAATTTGTGCTCATTTCTTAAGACCATCAAACTTGCTTAAAACACAGATTTCTGTGCCCCACTCCAGAGTGTCTGATTCAGTAGTGCTGCGGTGGAGTTCAAGAGTTTGCACTTATAAAAAGTTCCCAGGTGATGCTACCATTTGCTGGTCTAGGAATTTCACTTCAGGAGCCACTGGGAGTGGAGACCTTAGTGCATACCAAGGAAATGGGAAAAGTTCAAGATGTATTTCTCTCAAGAGACCTTTTTTTATAACTACAATCAACACTGAAATCAAACCACTTCTTTAGCTTCTGGACTTTGCCAGTTATCATGAAACTATTAGGTAAAAATGTATTTCTGTACAAAAGTGGTAGTACACCTTATGTTTACATTAGATGTGATTTATTTCATTTGAATGCCAGGGAGAAAAATGAGATATCTGTATCTTACATTAAAAGAAGTGGGACACAGGGGTTGAGGTTGTAGCTCAGTGGCAAAGTGCTTGCCTAGCATGTGTGAGGCACTGGGTTCATTCCTCAGTACAAAATAAAAATAAATAAATAAAATAAAGGTACTGTGTCCATCTAAAACTAAAAAAAATTTAAAAAGAACTGGGACACAGAATGGCTAAGTGACTTGTCTAAGATCACACAGCTATAGAACTAAGCTTCAGACTGGGCCATTTGAGCCCTGGCCCCAAAGTTTCCATTCTACCAGGTTCTTTATATTGTTTCCAACTTGTAGGACTTTGCCACCTTCTGGAAAAGCAAAAATACAGTTAGGCACATGAAGGTTCAGATAACTGAATCAACAGAATAGATTTAAAGAAGCATTGTGCAATGGAAAAGGAAGACATAAAACAAGTGATTTATTTGCAAGCAACGTCTTAGGTTTGGGAGACTTTTTTTTTTAGATACTTTATCTCTAGTTTTAGTTGGACACAATATTTTTGTTTTGTTTATTTACTTATCTATTTTTATGTAGTATGAGGATTGAACCCAGGGCCTCCCATGTGCTAGGCAAGCGCTCTACCACTGACCCACAACCCCAGCCCTGGGAAAACCTTCTTATCCATCAATATCCAACTTCTCCCTGCTTACTACCATAACTACTACCAATTACATTCCACCTGCAGGTAGCACCTGAGACAATCACTAGAAGAACCACAGGCCATGGCCATCTTTTTGTCTGCCCATGCACACCGACTGGAGTGCTTACCTGTGCTGATAAAATTGCCAGGTGAAAAGATTGTTAGTATGTTTTTTAGGCTTTGTTGTGAATGGAAGAGACAGAGTAGTAGTACACATACCACCACCAAGATGACCAAGTTGTACATGAGAATCTAGAAATGTGGGAAGACCCTTGGATGTCTTTCAGTGTGTAACTTTTCTTAAAGGGAGTAAGATGCAATTATATTATGAAGCAAAGAATTAGGTGCATAAACACCCAATGAAGTCACAAAAGCTAAACAGCTATACACTAATAATCTTCCTTTTTAAATGAGGTAACTTTTTTCATAGTTTTATTCATTTATTTTTTATGTGATGCTGAGAATTGAACCCAGGGTCTCACATGTGCTAGGCAAATGCTCTACCACTGAGCCACAACCCCAGCTCTGAAAATCTTACTCTGTGAGAAAACCAGCCCAATCAGACCAAAGGAGTGGTTTCTAGTTGCATTTTATCTTTCTTTAATGAACATTCTACCTTTCACTTTAGTTGATGCTTCACATTACCAAAAATTAAACTAAGTTTTGGTGGAAATGGTTTAAGCAAGCAATATTTCATGCATTCATATTAGCAAATAATGATTTCATATACAGAGCTGTGAGTTCAAGTTCAACTCTTTTTTCCTAAAAATTTTTTTAGTCGTAGATGAGCACAATGCCTTTATTTTTTTAATTTATTTTTATGTGGTGCTGAGGATCAAACCCAGTGCCTCACACGTGCTAGTCGAGCGCTTTACCACTGAGCCATAACCCCAGCCACTCAAGTTCACTCTTATCAAACAATATCCAACACGGTGTAAGCATAAGCTCCTGTCCAAAAATGGTAGTATATGGTGGTGATAAAACAAAAACAAGTCAGTGTCCTAAGGTGGTAAGAGGGTATGAAAGAAAGTGTAAGTGACCTTACATTTGGTGTTTTCCAACAGTACTAGTGGTGGCAGGGGGCATGAAACAGAACCAGTGACTACAATTAATTCTGTCCAGTGGGGTTGGGAGTGGGGGGCAGGAAGGCATGAAACTGTTAGTGACCTTACAATGCATTACATCTAATGATGGTAGTGGGGGGGCATGAAACAGAAGCAGTGACCTATCGTGTCATCTAAAGATGTTGGCCCAGGTGGGAATGAGGGGTGCAGGGCCACGAAAGAGTCAGTGACCTAACAATCCTGTCCCAAGGTGTTGGGGTGGGGGTGGGGCGTCAGAGACCTTGAAACAAGGGAGTCAGTGACATTACGATTAATTCTGACCAATGGTGGGGCGAAGACGTGAACCAGAAACTGTGAGCTTACATTTAATTCTGTTCAAAGGTAATAATAGTGCGGGAGGGCATGAAACAGCCATTATAATTAAGTGATAAACAGAACATGAAAACCAAAATATAAAGATGCAACAAGTACTGTAAAGTGCAACAGTCATTCCATCCTGGGAAGGCCTCCCGGAAGAGGCACCTTGGGCTGAGAAAGGCCTTGAGTCGTGTTTAGGGCGTGAGCTCCCTAAGTCCTCCTTGTCCCCTAGCACCTTGGCTACAGTTCGGCCTCGGAGGACTTGGCCAGGGGCAGGGACAGAAACGGAGACATTTGCCAGACCAGGTCGAATCCCACCTGCTAGAGAAAGAGGTTTGGGTGCCTCACTCAGGCTTTTAAGAGCTTGTTCGGTAGCGGCGGCCAATCAGGGGAGCGCGCGTGCGGCCGCGTGCCCCTCGCGCCCCCGCACCCCTCGCGCGTCGTGTACGTGCGGCGCCCGGCTCCGCCCAGGAGGGCGGGACCTAGAGAAGCCGCGGGCGCCCGTCTGCGGCCCGTGAGCTGCTGTTGCTGCTGCTGCGGCGGCTGCAACCCGCGGTTCCGAGGCTGAGAGGCCGAGGTGTGCCCCTGACGAACCTGCCGGATCTGCGCGGCTCAGCTGTACCCGTCCTTGCGGCGGTTAGGAAGTCCCAGCTGGTCTGTGCGCTGCTCTGGTGAGGATGCGGCTGTTCCAGTGGCTGTTGAAGCAGCCGGTGCCGAAGCAGATCGAGCGCTACTCGCGCTTCTCGCCATCGCCGCTCTCCATCAAACAGTTCCTGGACTTTGGTGAGTGCGGGGCCACAGGCCCCCATGGTCCCGGGATGTGAGGGCGCCACCATCCCGGCCAGCCTCCCGGGTCTCCGCAGCCTTTGGGCAAAGTCCGTGGGAACCGCGGGCGGGGCTAGGGGATGCCCATGAGCTCTCCTCCAGGCTCGGATTTCGGGGCATGGAGGGGTAGGGCCTGGCACCCTCACACCAGCGAGGGCCAACCCCGAGACACAGAAACCGCGTCCAAGGACTCTCATTCCAAGGGGGGGAGGCTCCCCAAACCTGCCACCATTAGCTTTAAATCTATGTGACACAAACCTTACCGCTCATAAAACTTAAGAACGAAATGTGTGCGACTTTTAAATGTTTTTAATTTTAGATTTTGTTGTAGGTAAGAGCTGTTTAGAAACACCTTGAGGTTGAATAAATTATGCAATGGCATTTTGTTCTTTTTCTGCTCTGAGGAGTTGCTGTGTAGCTAGAGCGGGAGGACTCAAACTGTAGTCTCCATCATGTTATATTAGAGCAGTCAAAGGCCTGGACTGTAAATTCCTTGATGCTGGGAAAGAGCCGACTTGTGGGTTCCTAGTGTCAAAGCATGATCTATGACAACTCTGGCCTTGGTTTCAGCACCTTTCATAGCTCCTTTCCCTTGTAGTTTCATCCACCTTCCCCCATCAACTGCGCTGGTTTGCGCCTTCCATGGATTAAGGGGGAGCAGAGACGACCGGGTCCCCATCCTGCCTTAGGCCTAGCTGAGAAGGAAATAGATTCCACCACCTTCTGTTAACTGGATCATGTTTCCCCAGAGGGTGCCATTCCATACGCAGCTAAAAGCAGTTGTGCAACACCTGAAAGTAAAACAAAAGTGTGCAGCCAGGTAACAGAATGGAGCTTGACATCTCTAAAGGAAAATAAAATCAAGCAGCAAAGATGTTCTAAGCACACAAGGGAAAATAATGGGGTGTCTGTTCATTTAATGAATTTTATGTAAATGTCAAGGGATTGTGTAGGGCATAAAAACTAAAGTACAGAGTAGGTAGAACATTCCAGAAACATCTGGAATGTGCCAAATGTGGTGTCTATACTTAAACAAGATGGGATAGGAAGGGAGGAATAGTTTGAATTTGAGAACAAATTAAATTTTTAGAAACCTATTTGCCACAGACCCATGATGAAAGTCAAAATTCAGTGAGATGTTGATCTTTGCATCTTAACTTCACCCCCCAAAGCTTTTCAATAGTCGGACTTTACCATCTGAGGTTACTTGTAGAATTTTAGAGATTGGAGGCAGGTCCCGACTTCAGAGTTGCTGTTGCTAATAAATAGGCATGCTTTCCATCTCTAATTTATGGTTTAGAGAAGATTATTCTGAAGGTATCAACCTTTTGGTTGGGTAAACTGGGACATGTTAGTTCACAATAAAAGGAACCTGGAATTAAATCCCAATTCCTCCCACCCTCAGAGTTTGTGCTAGCTTTAAAAGTGTGGCTGAATTTTCTGTGGCAGTTACTATATACCCCTGTTAATAGGTGTTTTGGCAAGAATGTTATTTGAGTAGGTAAACCACAATGGGGGATACTGTTATAGTGGAAAACCTATAGGGCCAGTATCTGGAAATGATTTTTTTTTTTTTTTTTTTTTTGTGGTGCTGAGGATTGAACCCAGGGCCTTGTGCATGTGAGGCAGGCACTCTATCAACTGAGCTATATCCCCAGCCCTGGGAATGAATATTTTAATTCTGGCTCTGCCACTAACTCAAGAGTATGGCCTTAGCTAAGTGACTGAATCTCACTGGGGTCCATTTTCCTCATTAATAAAACATGTAGATTGTATCAGATAATCTCTAAAGCTCAGCTCCAAAACCATGTGATTGAAATTTCAAGAAAAAGGGGTGAGCTTTTTAAGAGAAAATTGCAAAAATCTTTTGATTTACCTGTTAAAGTCTTCTGACCTATTTTGAAGGGGTAGAGGGATTCACTCATCTAGGATCTTGAGAGAAGCAAAATAATTTAAGTCTTTACCATATAAGGACACTCACAGAAGTGCTATATATAATTGTAATGAAATTTTCTAGAAACTACAAACCTTGTTTGTAACACCCAGAGACAAATCAGGTGGCATTGAGCTTTAATGACATGACAACTAAAAGAAGGGAGTTGTCATTAAAAAGTCCATCTCTACTTCTCCTTTTCTCTTAGTTTTGTCTCTTGATAGAAGTTCTGTTTTGACAAGGGATTGGGGGAGATTAAGCATTCAGAATGGATGTCAGGATAGGGAGAGGAGTAATGAGAGGTCTTCTCCCCCTGTGTGATTGAAGAAAACTGCAGGAGAGGGCCAACTCAAATGCTTATAGGACCAGATGGGGAGCAACAGGTGAATGAATTAAACCAGCCAGGTGGGAACTGTGGCAAACTCCTGGTTTATGGCTGGCTCCAAAAAGGGCAGCTGATTGGCACCCATTTGGTTTATATTTTAAAAGACCTTTGATGTAAACAAAGTGGATGGATTGCACTGGTCCATAGGTTTCTAGTTTGTGAATTTTATGTCGTTTTCCTTGAGTAGTTTATAGATAAATGGGGCATAAGCTTTGGCTAGAGTAACTAGACAGGGACCATAGAAAGGATGTGCACAGAATTTTTGTTTACAGTATTTGTTATAATCATATCAACAAATAAATTGTAGTTTCTATGGCCACTGAAAAAGCTTTCTTATTTTAATGTATTGCACATTAGTAAATAAGGAGATTATTTCCTATGTTTAAGAGTGTGGACTGAAAAATGGTGTTTACTTCAGAAGCAGTGATTTTATGTCATTTAAATGTTTTGTATAACTAACTTTTAAGATTTATTGTATATTAGTCTTTTTTAAGTCATAAAAATTGTGAGTAAAACCAAAGGCCCCTTTAATCAACCCCACTAATATCCTGCCAGAGACAGCACTACTAGTAATTTGGTATGCATCCTTCTATTCCATTTATTATGCTGTTCTGTGCATATTTCAGTGATATTCATGTAAATTAGAGTGATTTTATTTTAAAGCTGAGGTTCACAACCTGAGTACTCTGGATGTTCTAGGCAAACTCATTGTTGTGGGGGACTGTCCTGTGCATTGTGAGAGGTTTAGCCACATTCCTCACCTCTACCTACTAGATGCCTCCCACCCCAAGTTTTGACAACAAAACATGCATCACATCATTACTAAATATCCGCTGGGAGACCTACCTAAGAGTCGCCTGGGTAGTTCTTTGTTGAGATGCAGTGTTTTAAAACATTGAGATCAGTGTTGTTTTTTTTTTGTTGTTGTTGTTGTTGTTTGTTTGTTTTTAGAGCAGGGCCTCACACCAGGAATTTCTGATGTCAGTGGTCTGGGAGTGGGGTACAAGGCATTGTGTTTTTAGAAAATCCTCAGGTCATTCTAAAGCTTTAAAAAGTACTAACTAGATGCTCTTCTTGCTAATCTACAGTCCCCCTTTCATCTTTGTGCAGTATTTTTCTAAGCCCTTTAAAATAATAAAAGTTTCTTTAACTCAAAAATCATTTTTGGAAATACGGCCTGCCACCCAGCAAGTGTAGCAAGAATAGCAATTGTTTTAGATGGATAATTAGTTTAAAAAGATAATACAGTAGTATATTCTGAAGGATTGGATTTTTACAAATGAAATCTTCTTTTTGACCTGTGATTTCAGTCATGGTTCCTATTTCAAAAAATGTAAAAGGGCATAAGCAGAAAATCCTGCTTCCTGCTTCTGTTCACTAACCACCTTTTTTTTTTTTCCGCATAAATGGTAGCTTATACTTTTTTTTTAATACCAAGGTGCTTACTCACTGAGCCACATCACCAACTCTTTTTATTTTTTGTTTTGAGACAGGGTCTCACTAGGTTGCTTACAGCCTTGCCGAGTTGCTGAGTAAGGCTGGCTTCAAACCTGAAATCCTCCTGCCTCACCTCCTAATCCACTAGGATTACAGGTGTGCGCCACCACGCTTGGCAGCTTATACCTTTGAATCTTGTATTTTAAACTTAATACATTAGAGAAATTTCCACATATGCACCAATAGAATTTCCTTTTTCTTTTTTATGGCTTCTGAGATCTTGCTTATATATATGGGTGTAGTATAATTCGCCAACTCCCTATTGATGGCTAGTAGATTGTTTCCAGTCTTTGCTATGACAACCAGTGCTACAATGAATTATCATGTACATTGGAATTTCATGCATGTCTGGGTTTTATATAGGACAAATACCTAAACATGGGGATGTTCATTTATAATTTTGATAAACACTGTCCACTTGCTTTCCATAAAGGTTGTCCGTTTACCCTCTCACTAGAAGTTTCTGAGAGTGCCTATTTTTTAAATACTTTTATTACATTGTTGTTAAACTTTTGATAGGTGAAAAATGGTATCTGGCATTTTCTTTTTAGAAATTTTTTTCTCCTTAAGTGTTTCTATATTTTACCTTTTTATTATATAAAGTTGTAAACATTTACAGAAGTAGAGTGGTTTGATGAACTATTCATCCTGTGTTCATTATATTGATATCCATTGTCTGTAGATATTGTGTTTAAGTGCAGGCTTTTAGGTTTCCTTATCAAAGCTACACTCAGTTCAGAAAAATATTTTTTTTCTTTTTCTATACTAACACCAATTTATGAGTTATGTTTTTTTATTTGAATATTATATTCTTTAAAGATTTGGTAGAGTATCTGTATGAAACCTTTTAAGCTCAGTGTGCTCTTTGACAACTTTCTCTATTCTCTGGTATTGATCTGTATAGGTTTTTTGTTCCTTCTAGAGTCTGTTTTGATACTTTGCTTCTAGAAAATTATCATAGTCATGGAAGGTTCTAAGTCAATGTGGATAGCTGAGATAGTAGGTTTTTTTTTTTAACAGCCTTAAATTTTCCTGTGGGCATTTCCTCTTTGTTTCATAATTTTGTACTTATTCTCCCTACCCACTTCTTGATGAGGTTAGTTGATAGTTTATTTGATTGAATTTATTTCTTAGCTTTATTAT